TGTGTGTGTGTGTGTGTGTGTGTGTGTGTGTTTGTGTGCACAGAGCACATGTGCGTGCAAGTGCGCATGTGTGTATATCATGCGTGCATTCTATTTGGCTTTTTCCCAGAAGAAACAGATTCTGTAAAATAGAAATGCAATTACATATTGAGAACCGTTGTTCACGGAAACGCAACATGTGTTTGACACTGAGCCCGTGCTTGCATGAACTGAATTTCTAATCTCCTCATCGGGTGTTTGAGACGGAATCGAAGCGCTAGGCGGCCCACTTGTGACAGCAGACTGGATACATAGTTAATAGTCAGGGTTTGTTAAACAAATAGAGTACCTTTTCATTAAATGGCGCTTAAATGACCAAAATTGTGTCGATAGTGCCGTAAAACATCTACTCAATCAATTTTTTCATTAAACACAAACAAAAGGAACAGACACATCTGTCTGAACGATGTAACGCCTTAAAGGATTTTTTTTCTAGTGGAGGCGATTTTTACGCCCCCATCGTCACAATTTAGATCATAATAGTTTAGGAAAAAGGCTTTGACCCTCCCTGTCAGGGACAACCCTATCAGAGAGGGATACATGATGTACAACATCCTAGTAGAAAGACCGGGATACTAGTACTAGATAAACATTCTCCCGCCCCACTTGGGAATTTTGTCATCGCAGAAATCTTTATAAAATGTCCAGCAGTTTCTAGACTTAATTCGTACATTTCCTTTTTTTTCTTTTCCCCTTTTTCTATTTTCTTTTTTTTTTTTTTTTTGGAAGGAGTGGTGGTAATTTCAAGTATTAATACACACAGTATGTATTATTAGCACATGCTTATGTATTCAGGGCCCTTCTTGCCACAAAAACTGCCTCTCACCCCCCAAAAAAACAAACAATCAAGCAAACAAAAAGCTAACAAACAAGCCAACAAAAAACTGCCACGACCATCCACACACACAAACACACAAATACACACACACACACACACACACACACACACACACACACACACACACACACACAAGAAAAATCACCACCCTTCGCCTATAATTATTTAGTGTTGAAGGAGTCTTAAAACGTCCACTCAGCCAAATTCAGCTCTGTCCCTACCTTTTACACACCCCCACCTTCTACAAACTCCCACCTCCTACAAACTCCCACCTTCTACAAACTCCCACCTCCTACAAACTTCAACCCTCTACAAACTCCCATATTCCCAGTCTCTACATACTCACACCCTCTACAAACTCACACCCTCTACAAACTCACACCCTCTACAAACTCACACCCTCTACAAACTCCTACCTTCTACAAACTCCCACCCTCTACAAACTCCTACCTTCTACAAACTCCCACCCTCTACAAACTCTACAAACTCCCACCCTCTACAAACTCCCATATTCCCAGTCTCTACATACTAACACCCTCTACAAATTCCCATCC